TCATGATTATTTATTGAATATTTATATGAAATATATATATATATGTTCTAAATGAGGACGACGAGTTGAGTCGGTAAGTGCGATAAATCTTGGCCAATTACGGCTGTTAGATATTATGCATGTTATGTGGAATATGATCATTTACAGAGTAGATGTTTTTTGTGAGTTATGGGCCATTTTTGCAATGTTGCAAGTACCGAAACTTAAAGCGCTCATATATAACTCAATGTAAAAGCGCTTGGCTGCCGTTCATCGTTAGCATTTGACGCAGATTATACAAATTTATGCAACACTGTTGGCACTTTCATTCCATCATGCTCCTCCCCACCTGCCCGTCCCCTGCTCTGCTTGGGGCTCTGCCACCATTTCTGTTTGGCATTACACTGCTGACTGCTGTTTTTTACGAGAGCTGACGCAATGGCGGTTTCTGCTACTCCCACTCCTGCTCCCACTCCTGCTCCTACTCCTGCTGCTGCTGCTGTTGCGCATTTCCGGCCCCTCAAGCTTTGCGCTCCGTGTTGTTGGGCGCTGGGGAGTTAGTTAACAGTTGCCAGTGGCAGTGGCAAAAAGTCGACTAACCGACATGAAGAGCACCGCCCGACTGCCCAGAACAGCATTTGATTTTCATTAAAAAACTCGGAAATTTGACTTTGAGCGACTTAGAAATACCTAAAATCTATTTATAAAACTGATCCTCAAGAAGAGAAATAAATCGAATTAGTTAAATTCCATTAAAATTATTAAAGTATATACTCTGATAACTCATTCTATATGTATATGAGGATATATTTAAAAAAAAATGTATTAGCTAAAACATAGTTATATACATACATATATACAAAATGTCTGCACCTTAGATCTGATCCACTGAAAATTTTGTTCCCCTTACCTATGTTACCCCCTTTTAGACACCTTCAATGGGTTCATGCTATATAAAGGAAGCAAAGTTATTATGGACAGTCCAGCTCCCTATAGTAAGTGGTCAGGCCACACACAGTCACAAAAACAACAACAACAACAACGACGTGGAAAACTTCAAAGCAGATTTTCTCACAAAATTTCAATTTGTTTTTCGTTTTTGTTGCTCAACAAAAATTTGCATTTATATTTGAGATTTGAGACTGCGATTAATTAAGTGTAAAATGCATTCATTTTATGTTGGACAACGAGCTATTTACTCTAATTGCATTCATTTTGCCACTGGGACCAAAGTTTTTGCTACCTGGGCACACACGTCGTATACGTAACACGACAAACACACCCCAGAGAAGGGAGCTTGCTGGGCGGAGTCGGAGTACTTTTGCTCCTGTTGGAGCTCTTAATGCCAAAATAGGCTTATATATTATAAATAGACATACTGAAACGTGATCGACTAACAGATACTCTGTAAGAAAACAATCGTACAAGAAATCGATATGGATATATGCTTTAGGTACAGTTACGTTTACCACTCTAGTCAGCATATTAAGTAAATATGATTGCCTAACAGATACTCTGTAAAAATATTTTTGTAAGCTATACTATTGTCTGAATGCAAAGGATTTGCATAAAGTTGGCCTTGCACGACGTAGTTACAATTATATTTAAAATCATAATCAATTGTGATAGATCAAAATATACCCTGCAATATACAATTATAAAAGCAACCTTTGTATACTTATATACACAGTTAACTGCACACTACATCGAATGGAAAATCAATTGAGGCAAAGTAAAATTGTTACCGACCACCAGATACCCTGGAGGAGATTATTCAGAAATTTAAGACGAATTCTAAATATTTGTATTGCTTAGAGACAATATCTTAACACAATATCCCCTTAGTAGGCAACAGTTGATGGTGAACGACTGTCAGATACCCTATAAGAAGTAATTCACTCTTTGTTAGTGATGAAAGTCTTTCTTGAAGACATTCTTTGGCTCTCTAGAGATATGTTGCATTTTATGATACAAATTTTATAAAATGTTCGGTATCATTAATTTAATTTAATGTGACTTTATCGTATATCCCATGCATAGCTTTAGATAGACTTAAATGTAGGCTAGCTAAGATTGCATGAAGTAAATAGGGCAAATTTAATATACTCCATTTTTCAACCTGCCTTCTATAGGGTATATGAGCAACCGAATGCGCAGTAAGCCCTGCCAACTTGAGTGGCTGTAACTGCTTGGTGATAGCGTCCAGGGAATACGCCGGAAATAAAAGAGAAAGACCTAGGCAAAGGGATGGGGAGAGTGTGAGAGAGAAAGATAGCGAAAGAGAGAGTCAGAGTAAATGGGAATGTGAATTAAATGCGAGGCAAACGAGGCAAAGAAAATTGAAACGTTTAAAACTGGGCAAATAATTGCCTTAAGGACACACTGAGCATTGTATGAAAGGAATGAAGCGAATGCAGCAATGTGGATGCCACTTGACACTGTCAAACATGGAAAACTATTTGCACAATGGAAATGGCAGCGGCACAGCAAACGGCAGCTTAACGACCATTCTGAGCGTCACACAAAATGGCGCCGACAGCGTTGCCACTTCATTTTTTTCCTCCATTTTTTTTCAGTTTTCTGCTAAAGCTGTCCCCTGGCGCTTGGCACATCTAATTGTCTGATCCGGTTTGTGGCTTATTATGAAATAATGTAGAACCACAAAAATGTGCCAAAGAGAGCGACGGAGTGCGAGAGAGCTGGACTGACAGGGGAGCCAGGGCCGTAGGGCCGGAGGGGCATACACATAGCTGTTGACGCGCAGCAGACAGTTTTTAATAGACACCGCCCCATGGCGCCGCAACGGACAAAAAAAGGAAACAATTTATGCAAAGCTGCAAATCAGCGAAAAGATGAAAGGAAAGACAAACGAGAGGATAAACAAGCACATAAAGACATAGAGCAGGAGAGTTATTATGCTATACATTATAAGTGTACAAAGCGAGAGTTAAACTTTCATTTTGTATAGCTTATTTTTGATAATATACAAACGAAAAATCGAGTCATTTGCTATGAATACTAAAGTCAGAGTTTTATGAACTTAATATTAACAAATTTGCTAAAAAGTTGATTTATGTATTTAGCTAATGAAAAAACTTTCATTCGTTTTTCATTTAAGCTAGGCAGCACTTAAATTGAGCTGATTTAAGCTAGCAAGTGCTGGAAAGCCCCGATTTACAAATTGAGCTCGCAATAGACATTAGGGTTTCCTACCTCTTTAAACTAAAAACGTCATTCAAATGGAAGAGAAGATCGTTTGCCTAAAGTCAAGCAAACCTAAGCTCAACAAAAAAACTGTAAGTATGAGAGGGGAAAACCTTTGGGCTGCAAAGTATTCAAAAGCTAAAGTTTCATCAAATATGTGAGCCCAAAACTTAAACTCGGTTTCAATCTCCAGGGAATACTCGACTAAAACACTACCGGAACACTACACAGAGCTACCCACCTCCTTCTGTCTGTTACATATGAATTTTTATGGATAACATTCACAAACTATATGATGAAAGACTTTTTGAGCATGTGAAAATCCAGCTCGACAAGTTTGGGAATTCCGAGAAGTTCCCTGAAAATTCTTCAAGCCTCTAGCTCCTAGCTGTAGTTACAGCTAATAGTTTTAGACCTCACTATTTAGCACACATTGCAGCCTAACAAAAACTGGTTGACTAACTTTATATTTATGTGATTCAGGGAAAATATATTTTCCTAACGAACTAATTTTACAGAATTAATTAGATTTTGCACTCTGGCTTTAACAAAGACATCGCACGCAGCGGATCCGCCTGTATGTCTGTGCATGTGTTGGGCTATAGGGGAGGGTGTGTACATATGTGTGTGGGTAGAATTATATGGTTATGTGGCACGCAGCATGACAGGATTTACCACAGCTGGGGGCACACACATTTTTGGTAGGCAGACTCGTGTAGGTAAATCGACTCTACGCAAAGTCCTAAATGCGTGTGTGTGTGCGTGTGTGTGCGTGCATGTCATGTGTTGTTCACACTAACGAAGGCCATTTGCTAGTAATGTGAGCAGGTGCCAGGCGCTGACAAAAACAACAAGATTAATGCCAGCTCCAGTTCCAGCGGCCCCTGCTTCAGTTGCAACCTCAATTCCAATGCCACGCCCACCAGCTCAGCCTAGCTTTGTTTTGAGGAATTTTCGCGTACATATAAACTTGCTCTGGCAGTTGCCAACTGGCGCAGCAATTAAAAGCGCAAATTATTTCGACCTTAATCGATTCACATCACTGTCTCTCACGCATTCAACACAATTCCCCAAACATTCCATACTGCCCATACACACAGACAGGCACACACAGACATACACACACTCACACATAGACGCACGCATGGAGAAAAACTCCGACGGGAATTGGCGCTGCGTGTCATGTATCCAAAACTCCATTCGACAGTCGACGCGTTGAGCTTTAGCAACGGGCACGTAGTCTGCCAATCAACTGTTATTAGGTTAGGATATTGCCATCAATCTCAAGAGTGGTTCATGATAGTGGCTCAGCAGAGGCTCCCTCGATATACCAAATATGAATAGATGTGACTATACAGACCTTGACTTATCTTATGCTCAAATACAGATTATCGACAGCTCTTATGGCCTAATTAATAAGTCAGCAAAAGAGAGGTTCATGGACATGTTCATGGAGGTGCTTCACCTACTGGCTCTCTTAAAGATATATAAATCATCTTTTAATATCTAGGCTTATCTATACATAGCTTATCGAATCATTGAACATTAAAGCGGATTAACTGCTGGATCGATCAACGCATAGAGATATATGACATGATAGATACGATATAAGTCTTGCAATAATTTTAATAAATATTAGACTATATATTAATTATCTGTTTTTTAAGTATTATAAATAATGTGTAGAATCACTTTATCTTAAAAATTATTCAACATAATAATGGGATTTAGATAATTTCGTGAGAATATGGAGACGATTTCGTGTTATAAACATATCATTTTCATATATTATAAATATTCATGTCCCAAATACTCACTCAGTCATATTGTTTTCGAAGATCAACTCGCCGCGAACCCCATGATAGTGACGTCCACTGATCGCAGTTTCATCTTCGGACCAATAGGGAACAATAACGGTACCTCGAGCACCAGAATATCGCATGACGGGCAGAACATAAGCTCCAACCGATTCGTTAACCTCATGTACTGCATCGCCAAATGCGAAAATTCCTGCATGATCATCGTCCAGTATCATAACTGTGGCGGTGTGTGGCACATAGAGGTTAACGTTCTCAGAGGGATTGAAGAGACGTATATAGAAACATTCGTCCTCCTCGAAAATATCATCATCGATAATTTCAATCTTGAAGCGCTGCTCATCGACACCCGGTGGAAAATTGAGTATCCCGCTTTTGCCAACATAATCAGAGCCGGCGGAGGCGGTGCCGTCGTATGTCTCAAAATAGACATGCGAGTAGCCGGAGATATCGCCGCGTCGCACCACACGCACCTCGAACTCGCCGCAGTTCTCCATGACCGTGTAGTGACCGGGCTCAAAGTAGATGCGGGTGGGTATGTCATCATCATCGTCGTACGTTTGAATTTGGGCCTTCACGCTGGACAGATCTTCGTGGGCACGCTCCTGAATCTTACGCATCAGATTGCCGCTGCCGATGAGCTTGCGCGTGGCCTGGACGCGATAGAAGGCGCGGGACTTGTTGCCACGGGTTATCATTTGCTCCTGAGCCATCATTTCCAGATGCTCCAGATCAGCATCCGGGTACTTCTGCCGCAGCTCCGATAGCAGCTGTATATACTCCATTCGGGCCTCATCGTAGGCATGCGCGCTCTTGCTCATTTGCAAAAATTGTTTGCTTGTTTGCTTCGGGTCATCGGCGCCCATCTCAACGGCATCGTGCTCACCCGCCACGACCGTGCCACGCTGGTTCATCCGATAGTTCTTATCCATGTACTTGTAGAGCAGCAATCGTCGCTCCGCTATATATGCCCACAGCACGGTGGCCGGGAACATGAGGAGGGTGACCACGCCCTCCCACACCTCAATGATGCCCGGCGAGATGACCGACAGAATCGCCCATAGCCAGATGTAAGCAAATATGGACAGCACGGCGGTCACAATGAACACCCGGAGATGCTTTATCCGCCGCTTCTCGCCCTTCGGTATCAACACCATGCAGAGAGCAATAATGACAAACAGATTGTATGCTGCGGAGCCCACAATTGTGCCCGGCCCCAGATCCCCGCTCTCAAAGTTCTTCGCATAGATCTCAATCACGGAGAGTAGAATTTCGGGTGCACTCGATCCCAGCGCCATGAGCGTTAAATTTGCGACAGTCTCATTCCAGATGCGTACTCGCATCGTCTGCTTCTCACCCTTGGGTCCACGGACGACCACGTCTCGTTCAATAGAGGTGATAGCCTCTATTGATGCCATAAAACGATCCGATATAATCGAGACGCCCACAAACAAATAGACCATTAGCATAAAGTAGACGAAGCCGCGGATGGCACGGTCGCCAATTGAGATTTTTCGCTGAGGCATCCACAGTGGCAACACGAGACCCTCCGAACAGGTGCCCAGCTCCTCCACCTCAACATCGGGTTTTACTGTCGTTATCTCGTCTTCAGTCTGATCGACCTGACGGACGACACGTTTGTGGCTGGCAACACTGCTGGTCTCATTCAGAGTCGAGAAGGAGGCTGAGTCATCCACAGCTTGGCCAATGGTTAGGGCAAACGTGTGCGCCTTCACATAGAGCAGGAGTAGTAGGACAGCGAACGTAGCAACTGATCTAACGGTTCTTCGTAATAGCTGCATTTTTGTGTTGCTTTCTTTTGTAGGTTTTGAATCCTTTTTGGAAGTGTTTAGTGAGTATTGTCTTTCACTGTTACTGGAAGCGTCCTTTTCTTCTGTTTTTGTGCACTTAGTGAAAAAATGTGTTGCGATTTATAATGTTCGGATCGTCCTGCGAAACGGCATCATCGCAAACGCAGTTTTAAGCAGATGTGGCAGCTCTGGCGCACAACTTACGTTGCTCCTGTTGATTCCTGGAAACGTAAAACAAATTCGTTCATTAATGAATGTGCTTGGAAATATACCAGCTATATTTGCTGTCAACATCATCTGTTGCTAAATAATATTTTCCTTTGAATAAGCCGATTTGGCATTATTTAACTTTTCCAGATGGGCGAAAAAGTCATTGCCAGAGTTTTTCGCTTTGTATTTTTCTTTCCCGCCCCTTTCAGCTTTTTTTTGTATATTTACACGAAACAGAAACTAAACACACAAAAAAATAAAAGAACTGCGATATATACGGAGAGCAACTGAAACTAAACATAGAACATAAACAAAATGCAGTACTAAGGATAAACACATAAAACGAGCAAATAGGTAAGGTACGGCCACAATATACCCTATAAAGTCTGTGCTTAAGCTTACCAAAGTTAAATTAAGCTATTCATTAGTCATTAGTCATTATTCATTAGTCATTATACATTAGTCAACAGTCATTAGTTAGAAGTCTAGTTGTAATTTCAATAATTTCTAGTTTAGATATTTGTACATGTTCCATATTTAGTGGTTTCTCAAGCATGTACATAGCTCTCTAAATGCTTGGCATCTCACCTTCTTCTATGGAGCATTTATCTATAAACACACATTTATTAAATTTAACACGTTTATTAAATGTTTTCCCTACGTAAGAATAATATTTCTTTTAATATTTTTGTAATAACAACTATGTTTGCTATGGGTACGGGCGACAGAATAAACGCTGGACAAACTGAGGCAACGGACCGGTAAATATGAATACGATATGAAATCGATAAAATGCATAATGTAGACAATGTCAATAGCTGTAGTTCAGTAAGAGAAAGCGAGAGAGAGAAATACTGGGTGTATGGATGTGTGTCTGTGTATGTTGAATAAGATGGAACTGAGTAAAGCATAACGGTAAATGCATTACCAGCAACAAGCACCAACTTGACTGGCAAGCGAAACGGACAAAAATCAGCAAAGCGAATGGCAAAATAGAACGGTTAAAATGCAAAGAGAGAGAGAGACTTGGTGAGAGGGACAAACCAACAGAAGAGCGTCAAGGCAGAGTGGGTGAGATAGTAGGCTATATTAAGATATATGTACATATGTACATATGTAATTGTTCTAGACGGCTGACTTGCTACACGCTCCTACATATGTATGTATAATATAAATTATAAATATAGAAATAAATAAAACTAAATAAATATACCTAAATAAATAAAACAAAAAGCAATGATCTAAATATTGTGTAAAAGTAGACACAATAAATTTTCTACTCAAGCAGTATTATAATTAGTCTTTTTTTTTAATTTCTTTAGTTTCGAATTATTCAATATTAAAAAAAAAAAAAAACTCATCTGAAATTAATTATGCAAAATATTCGCTTGCTTGACTCGCATCCAGAACTAATATGCAGCACATTTTTCGTCGTAGGGGAAGGGGTCGCTTGCATTAATTTAGCAATTACAACGGTAAAATGTGCCAAGAGCTAGTCGTTAGGGAATGGCGAGAGCTGCATTTGCAAACAGCCAGACAGTTAGACAGACGCGCCAGGGAGAAGAGAGATGAATGTCAATACACAGACACACAGGCATACACAAGCGCACTCACACACACACACACACACACACACGCACGCACACAAACACTCGGGCATTGCTAGACAGCCCGCAGGCAAGTGCTCAGTTTTTCCACCCGTTTTTCATTTCAGCAGCAAATTGCATTTAACCGTTATTGAAAATTTTGTGCACGTCGATGCTTAAAAGAGATTGCGAAATTAATTGAAAAATCTCTCGAGCAGACACTGAAACCTATTATTATTCAGATAGTGCGTGCTATATGCGAGCACGGTTGAGATTTGTCACTTTACATAATATTTATGACCACTGTGCAGAGTGTGTGAAATATGTATTTAAATATAGCACATCGTTACAAGGCTCAACGGGTTCCGTTTTGGGCTGCGATCGCACGTTACGTTGCTTGACGTTAGGTTAGAGCACTTACGTTGGGGGCTTACGTTGTTCGATCGCCACGCTTTCTATTGGTGTTGGCCCAACTCGGGCTGGACAAACATTTCGCTAGCAACAAAAGGTTGAATATCGAACACTTCCCTATTCGGATTTCACTATGATTGGAATTGGCTACACTCGAGGCACTGAATTCATCTGCTCTCCCACTCGCAATCACATTTACAATCGCGTTCGCGTTCACGTTCGGCAGCCAATGTACAACTAATTCGCCAAAAACCCGCCGCCTGTCGTCTGCGCTCAACAAGCGGTGTCCCAAGCGCTCATAATTATTTTGAATGCCCTACACTGATTAGTGCGGCTCGATGTGTTCATCATCAAAAGACTAATTAGCAATATGAACATGCATACATACATACATACATATATGCTGCTGATATATGTATGTATATATGATTATATCTAAAGCTGAATAAAGCACTTCATTAAAATATATATGATATATTGTAACATATTACCTATTATTTTATATTATTGTTATATTATTTATATAATTATCTAGTATATTGAATTCTCATGTTTGACTAGTGTAGGGCATTTGTCGATTTCTGCGTCTGCATATTTGCATATGCACCACAATTATTAACCTATGTCTTTGTCTGTCAAAATATTCGCCGTTATTTTAGCTGTGCATCGTTTCGCATAGTTTGCTTTGCTAACGCTCTCGCGTTCTCATGCTCGCGCCCTCTCAGCACTCTCTCGCACTCTCTCACACTCGCATGCTCTCTCTTAATATTCCACGTTTGTTATTGCCTTGTTTTTGTTTAGCATTAAATTTTGTTTATTATTGTCGCCTCTCTTTCCTTTTCTCTCTGTCTCTCACAGGCAAAAGCAAATATTTCAAATCTGTTTTGTAGCACCTTTGGGTCAACCATATAACATGTAGTTCTGGCAAATTGCTATTTCAGTGTATTCGCCAGGCGTTCCGTATCTTAATCTCAAGCACTAAACATAGAACTCAACTAAACGTGGAGCTCTTCAGCAGCAACCCATCTAATAGTTGGCTCAACTATTTATGTGTACCCTGTGCGCTCTCACAGTGGATATGACAGGTTGCTAATGCTCTCAGAGAAATTCTGAAAACATTCTTGATCAACTATATACATACATATGTATGCTGTATCGATATCGTATATCGATAGATGTAGCAATGTAAATGAAAGATATTAATTTATACATGGTATACATATGTATCATAAACTGAACTGTTTTTTTTTTCGATGATATATTGATATACATATATCAAAACGAAAAATTTTTTTCTTTAATTCACTCAAAATTTTTATAAAATTATCTTGAGAAAACTAAACCAATATTTTCATAGAAAATAGTTCAGTTATGATGGTATCAATCATGGGTAGCGTCTAGTCGGCCTCTCTAACTCTCTCTCTTTCTCATAGTGCTTGCCACCCAGCTGTGAAGCATGCCCGCGTACGCAGCTACTTTTTTTTTGGTTTTGCTCTTCTGCCTACCCTTCTGATATATTTTTAGACAAGTGCACACTAGACACACACTCACACAAACACACCCAAACACATTGACACACCGTAAATGATCTCTGCAGAAATATGTATGTACTCATGTATGTATGCGTATACATGTTTATGTATATGTTTTCTACTCACTTGACCTTTCGTCAGCTCTTTCTTGCTGTGGATTGCGGCACCTTTGGATGGGCTTGAGCTGATATATATGGAAGTATATATCCCGATATGAAACCGCTTGGCAGCCAAGCCGATTTATTGGTCTATAATGCGTTTCACATTCGAACAGTTAAAAGTTGGCATTACTGTGAATCGATTCACTTGCAGCCGCCCCCAACAGCCGTAGCCCTCAGTGCCTGCTCCGGACTCTGGTAGCACCCACTCTCTTCCTCTCCCTCACCCTCACCCTTTCTCTCTCTCTCACACACTCTCTCTATCTCTCCCCGTCTATGTGGTATGTTGCCAGATAAGTCCTTTCACGTAGCATGCGCCATGGGCCCCGCCAGAGAGATTTTCAAAGATGAAGAAGACGAAACTAGACACTTAACGATTTATCTGTTCACAAACGGAATTTACACAAACACTATTCTTAAGCTCAATTTATATGAAGTATATCTCAAAGGCGATACGCAACAAGTCAGTCTTTTAATATCGCGTTCTATTTGGCGATCCGAACCAAACTGGTAACCAATTTCGACCCCTATATAATATATAGTTATATTTCTACATACATAAGTCTTTCTATATTAATTCTGGCGATTTGATAACCTGAAGCGTTCTTAAATTTGATATCAATGCGACAGGGCAATTGATATAGTGAATGTTTCGCTCTTATCACAAGAGCATTATACAATCGGACACTTTTGGCTTACCACTGCACAAGTTAGAGTTGAGCGCGTGTCGTGACACGAGAGCCGGTAATGTCATAACATATGTATGTACTTCGTAAAGCTGTCTTTGGGTGCTCGACAGTCATCCTCTCGATTCTCTACTCCATTCTCATCAATTTGTTTCTTATCATCTCTAGCACAAGTGTAGGTATACGCTATAGCGTCATCTAACAATAACGTCATTAAGCCGTCGATATAAGACATATGAATTTATAGTATTAGTTATCTATGTTGTATATAAGAAATTGCAGGTCTATTTCAGATTAGATAGATCTGGTCAATTTTGCCTATACGTCAATGATACGAATGTAGAACAGTTGATAAGATAAGTTATTCAGTATAAGTATATATATAAGTATATCAGTGTAAGTTATTGTTAATGTGTACTATATAGATAATTTAAAATAATTATATTGCCAGAATTTTATATGACAAGAATTTCAGTGAGTTAGCTGTTTATGTAAAAGATTAAAAAACAAAATTTGAAAGGGGAGTTTAGGTGCTGTGAACGGATGGAGGCGTTGTGGAACTTAGAATCCATTTATGGTCCTAATCATGTTGACGAATTGAGTCGTTGCAGCCATCTCGCAAAAGCTGAACGCCCTAAACCTATATCAATATTTTAAGCAAATTCTTTATCGATAATAATCAATAACACAGAAACCGTCTCCTCTCTCTCTATGATATTATTTTAATACCTAGAAATCAATTTCTAACTTTTACGCTCCATCCTTTGTGCTCTCCGCCATGGTTCACCACCTCGGCGCACCTTAATTATTTAGTAGCCAGGGACAGGTTCATATTTTGTTAATTGAATCATTGGGGCACTCACTAACTGCTCAGGTCTGTCGCTTATGTGCGGTTATTTTGGGGGCTTGGGCGAATTTGCATGGCCAATTAGACTAAATAATTGATTAACCGTCACTTTGGCAACGAGCACAAAGAAGTAGCAGAAGTAGAAGAAGCAGAATATAACTAAAATGCTGCTTGAATCATTTAAAGTCGTTCCAGAATTGGCAAAGCGGCTGAAATATTTATCATACGCCACGTTGACCGCAGTCAAAGCAAGCTCACACAGACAGTTTGGCCTAATTGTGATGGAAGCCTTCGGGCTCAGAGCAGCGGCGAGTGTGAGCATATATCAGACAGGCACTGTCAACTGGGCTTTACCCTAAATTACCTTAAATTCTTGACACAGCTGTCCACCCCGCCTCGCAGCAACAACATCATGTCCTGGCCGAGCAATCCTTGTACTTATAGCAATTCCATTTTCACACTGCCTTTCATATCGCTCGCTATTCGTATTTAATACCCTGTAGCTAGGTGCTCGTAGAGGGGGTGAACCCATTACAAATAAGCCATGCTTAAGCCACTTGTAGCTGAGCGTGAAATCTTGAACAAATGATTGGATTTTGCACATAATATAATTCCAGTTAAGAGGTTTAACAGATTTATTGATGGACCAATTGAATGAGAGATGGAGTCGGTAGTCGGTTGGTTAATTGATGGAAAGAGTGTGAGAGTGTTACAAGGTTGGCTGGTTGAACAGTTACAGGTCTAGTATTTCAATATGATTATGTAAATTAGGGCTGACTGATTGCTCGATGTTCTACATATCAATGAAATAAACATTATATGAAATAAATCTCAACTACCTCAACTTTTCTGATTCATGATTCCAATTTCTAGATATGCTGACTGATATGCTGATATTGATTGATGAAGTGACTGTTGATTCATGCTTCTATACAATCATATTCTTTGATTTGGTTTAATTTATATGATCGATAATTGAACCATACAAGTTTTACAGCCTTAGATAAGTCATAGTCATAATAGATTAATATGTCCATATATGTTTATGTCCCTTTAGCTCATGATTGACTGATTGAAGCCCAGCAATGCTTAAGACACAAATTAAAGCTTTGCATTGTAAATTAAATATATATTTCGTAATACCCACTAACCATACCCATCCATGTATAAAAAGTGATTGATTCATTGGTGGATATACATGCCTTGAATGATGATTGATGAGATATATGTTAAGAGAACTCGTATATACATATATATTTTAATATATAAAGTTATATTTTTACAGGGTAGCTGCCCAGTCGATCAACTGCAGCTGGCGTATTTCTGATTATTTTGCTGTTGTGGGCGCATTCAGACTCTATATCCTTGGCAACAGGAGGAGGCTGGAGCTCTGCAGCTTTTGGGGACAGCAGATGAAATGGTTAATGCGAGAGTAAATGGAGAATGAAAGAGGAAAGGCGCAAAGTGGGGGAGAGGCAGAGGGGAAAGCGAAGCGGCAGTAGATTCAGCTCTGGTAACAGTTGCTGCTGTCAGCGCATTTTCCTGTTGCCGTTGTCGCTGCTGTTGGCTTTTTTTATTTATTGGCGACAGTTTTGGGCTTCATTGTTGCTGTTACTGTTGTTGTTGTTGTTGTTGCTGTAGCGACAACAACTTTGATGACGGTCGTTATGAAAGTCGTCGATTCGGAATGCCGCTTTGTCGCCGCACCGCCTCGTCCTCGCCCGCGTCCTCGTCCGTCTGAGCTAAGCGACGCCATCTTAGATGGATAACATTACCGTTGACAGCTGAATGCGTGCACACAGGATATATTCAACCAGGCCCCGACCCCGACGCCCCATCCCCCGCCCCCCACATCCTTGCCAATCACAGGAGCATACATACTTTTCCCTTTCTTTATATACATACATATATATTTTCACGCCTGTTTATTCTGCTGTTCGGCGCTAAACTGTTTATTATTTAACAATATCGCCGCTTGTGCACACGTGTGTAGGTGAGCGCTTATTTATTTATAACTGTGCTT